TTTTTTTTTTTTTTTTTTTCCCGAGCTCTCTGAACGCCTGTTTTTTTTTGGTCCTCGGGGATTCACAGGTAAGTATACCCCCATGTGCTGCACGGCAATCCTCCTATATGCAGTGTCAAGACTCGACAAGAGCTTGACAACCTGCATCCGCCTAAACCAAGACTTCCCCAAATTGCAAAGACAAAAGCAACAAGTCAGAGATTTGGGGCAGGTCAAATGGCCATGTCCCAATTGAACGCCCTTATCGCAACGTCCCCCCCTGAAAAGGGGACTCGTGAATTTGAGACATCACCAAAGATTTGACCATGGAGGGCTAAGCTATCACGAGGTAGGGGCCTAAATGCTTGCCAATACTGTGGTCCTAGATTCCCTGCATGCTATGGTATGAGGTATCTCAAGTAATTTCGATACATGATATGTTTAATTATTCAAGCCTCTGCATGCCAAAGTGCCTTTGCGCAGGGCTTCGGCAATCGTAGCTCTCCACATGGTGTCATCAGAAAATGTGGTCCCGGCATGTACATCTGAGTTCCAGTGGAACCTTGATTATGCATGAATATCTGGAACCCTGAGCCTTCATCCCCCAACCCTAGATGTTTTCGTGTAAGCTTTAGACACCCCATACATGATCCCATATTATATACACACACACATTTTTTATATTTTATGTTTATACATACAGCACGTTATAAATACTATACATCCCCTACTAACCGCACTTTTCCGATGCACTCTTCGAAGGCCAACTTGACGAAGGAAGAAGGCTGGCCGATGTCAGATGATTGCCAACTGAAGCCAATTTGGCCCTGCATAAATCATAATATGGACTGTGCTAGCTCGCTACAAACCCCGAATGCCGCTGTCCCTGCAATGGTCCCCGCCAGACAGAATTTGAGACGAACGCGGGTTGAATTTGCGCCACAGGGATGGGTAGGACTGACCGTGCATAACATATTCCACCTCCATGAAAGCTAGCGCCCAAAACAGATGCGTATGATCTCGTCAGGATTATTAACTAATGGTGAACCGAGAGCCTCACGCAACCTGGTACTATTGTTCTTATCGTTGTTATTTACTTTTGTAGTACTATTGTCATTTATATTTCCCGTTGTGTTCCTACTTTTGCTGCTATTTCCGCTATGAGTATTGCGTTTTATTGCTATTCTTACAGTTTTACATACCACTATAATGATTTCTATTACATTTCCTTGTACTAGGACTGCTGCTATTATTGCCCTACTATCATAATGATCTTCTTGCTAGTGTTACCTATTCGATTCGTGCGATTATTTGTATTTCACTTGTTTGACTATTAACCATGATTATTATCATTGCTATTACTCGTAATTGCAACCTTTCAGCACCAGGCCTCTACGCCGATCTTCAGAAGCGAGTGCAGAAGGAGACCCTGTGGTAAGCGGGTCAGCATTTAGGGGGCCAGGGCATCACTAGTTTGCTGTGAAGGAACCTAAATTAAGTTACTATACCAAAAAAATCCTAATTTCTAAATGTATACCCAGAATATGGTGATTTAATTTAAGTTCCTTAACCGCAGGGTCTCTTGGGGCTCAGATGGGCTTGGTTGAACATCAGCTTGTTTCCTTACTACCATATTCCAGTTTGTTTTTTGGGTTGTTGCCTCTGGGGTTAGGTAGGTTGCCTACTTGTAGCTTGTGTTGGAGGGTTGGAAGGCAGGGGTTTGTAAGGGTTGCAGATGTCCTGCGTGAGGAAAGTGTCTACGGCGCAGGGCTACTTTGCAAGTATAATGTTTTGCAAGTGAGTCTGCATGATGTTCTTACATCGGGCCTATCTACCTGCCTTGGAATATAGAAGTCTAGATCATTTACCAATCCCACAGGAGTATGCTCATACTGCAGGAGTCAATACTCAAAACGGTCTTCAAGGCATCTCGTCCAGGCTGCAGTAGCACAAGAGCCTCGCATGCTAATCTTCAAGCTAGGCACCCCAACCAAGCTACAAGGGGGGAAGGGGATGTCCACAAGCCAAGAATCCCCGAAACTTCCACCCTATAAGCCCTCTCAAGCCCGTAAACCTGAATGAGCCACATACCATACAAAAAAACTTCCCCAAGGAGAGGGGACGGGGAGATTGCAAGCTGTAGGAGATCGCACGGCTCACGGACCAGCCTCCTTGCGGGACATTTGGAGTGGTGAAGGTTTAGGGACATATAGAGGAATCTATGGTGTGTATGCATGTGTGTATATATATAAATACATGTGTATGTATATCTGGATGGAAATAAGATGGAAATCCGGATTATAAAGGGTTTTACAGGCTGTTACAAATATTATTGTAGATAAGACATGTGTTTGGTAACAGCCAGAAAAGTCCTTTTGAATGGGCTCACGGGTTTATTAAAGGGTTACAAGGAGCTGCTATGTCGTTTGATGGACGTGCACCTTGTGTGGCTTAAAGACAATCCTGGTTGTGCCGAGCACCTAAAATGATTTTGTTTAAAGGGGTAGGGCTTACAGTCTTACAGATGACAACGGTCTAAGGGCTTGCGAGGATATGCCAACAACAACAACAACAGCAACAACAGCAACAACAAGAACAAAGCAATCGCGCCACGATTCTCCTTATTGTACATTTTTGAATGTTTCAAGACGGATCCACAATTAATAGCGTATCTTTTACATATGGATTTCTTCACGAGAGTTGGTATGTTTTTAAAGGTCAGCGTCAGTCAGCTAGACTTGTACAGAATCCCTATATGTTTGACGTGAGACGGTTCACCGTGTCTTTGTCCACGTGCTGCCTGGCGAATGACTTGCGTATGACTGACTGACTGACTGACTGACTGACTGACTGACTGACTGACTGACTGAGGAGGGTTGGCCGTAGCAAGCGAGCGGCGTGTTCAAGCTCTAAAGACCCCAAACCCTTCCTGTGTTACAGCCTGGGTTTCAGGTTCTAGAAGAGCGTATACAGCGGCATTGTTAGGTGTAAGTTACGAGGCATCTCTCGATGCCCGAGCGTGTTCGGAAAGAGTGAAGTTTACAAGAAAGTAAGAGGAAGCCAAAAGCAGCCAAGCACTTCATGGGTCTCGACTCCACCACATAAGACGTGAGCAGGAGAGTTACGTCAGGGAGTAAGACCAGTAGAGACTTTAAGGAGTCGCTGGATCAGCAACAGAATTCTGCCATCAGCGTGAGTTTTAGTACCAGGAGGGTATCAGCAGCAAAGGTACCAGATTTTATCGCCTTTGCTGCCTCTAGGACGTACTACTACCATTTATGCGCATTTTGTTTGCCTTGCAATGGGATGAAGTCTGCAAGCTATAAAAAAATGCCAAGGCAATTGGCCGCGGACAAGCGTTTGAGGGAACTCCAGGCAGCTAAAGACAAGAAGCAGGAGCCATGCGCGGGGCATGTGAAGGGTTTGGGATCAGAGGGCCATGGCCGAGAAAAACAAGTGTAGAGACAGAGAATAGAGGAGCAACTTAATTTAGATTTGCGCCAGAGGGCAAAGCAGGGGCCGAGATTTCCATTATAGTACCTTGAGCTAATTGCCTGGGCCTGAAACCACTTTCGCGACGCCTTGCCAGTAAGCAACTCAAATCCAGGCAGCTTTGATTGCAGGAGCCCCTTTTCGGGGCTGTCTCGCAAACCCCTGATAGACCAAACGACTTCAGACTTCAGAGCCCTGAATTCATCGACAAATCCAACTCATAATTACTTAGAGGGTCAGAAAAACTTGGCAAGTAACCATGGTTGAATAACCTCTATAAACCATATAGTAGCCTTAGTTGTCTTCATTTTTTACCTACTTCTAAGTCTGACCCTCCGAGTAGCAATGAGGAGCAGGTGGACAAGCTACGAGAGGACGCTGTCGAGCGCGGAAGCATTGCCAGGCCAAGTGGTTAAGTTGTAGTCGAAGCCTAGGCTTCTACACCCCACCCCTTTTTTAGGGTGCCTAATCTGGTATAGAAGATGTTGAGGTATCGCAGCAAAGGGGTAGCGTATTGGGGTCAGCGAAGAGGATAGATGTCGGGGGCTTCTCTGGCCACTTTAATTAAGGTGATTCTGGGAGCGGGTGTCAGGTGTCGTCATAGTTTTCTTTGAGACCTTGAGGTAGCACTCTGACCAGCCCACTACAACTCCAATTATTGTCAGTGCTGCTCACGGTCGTTACGTTCCGTAAGCCCCTGGAAGCTGCGAAGCAAAATGCCAGGAATGCTTCTGAGGAGGCGGACGTTGTGCAAGCTAATTTGGCGGAGGCTGGGGGGAACATTCCGTTATCTTTTCTTTTTGAAGCTCAAATCAATGACACAAGACTTGAGGATTACAAAGACAAGGCTTGCCAAGGATAACTTGAAGTATTGTTCGGGCTTCGGCAGTTCTAGTACGATTCAAGAGGTATTGCCCGGTATTCCTCTTGTTTACTTTGATTCTGGCAGGGCAACAGGAAGGGCTGTAGGGCAAGGCTTCAATCCTGACTTTGCAAACTTAAGGTTCGGCTATCGCGAAGCTGTATGATCATGCGCAATCAGGATGCATAAGCATCAAAGGCTAGATCAAGGACGTCTTTGCATTGAATGTTGCCGCATTGGATCACACTGGAGCTGCTTCGGAAACTGTTTAACTTTCGGCATGCCACGGAAGCCCACAAACTGTGCGAGATTGCCTCGATTTCGGTTGTTACTGTATTGACCAAGCTTGTTGGGTGTTGTAAGGGCCCGCGAGAAGTTTGGAGGCGGGGTACTTTCCAAGGTTCACCTTACGTAGATAAAATGTGCAGTTGCCCAATGTCATAATGTGAACCCCAGATAAAATCCTGGGGTAAAAACTTCCTGTCAACTTCAAAAACCCTAAACCAGCAAAACCAATTCTGCTTTAACCCTAAACCTCAAACCCTAAACCCTAAACCCTAAGTTTTAGGGTTTAGGG